AGTTTATTTAATTACCCATTGGTCAATAATTTTTTAGGTAACTATGTTAATAATCATTGAGGTTATTTTTATGCTATAATAATAATTAAGTTATTAATTATTACATTAATAATTACTCAATCAAAAAATTAAAAATGAATAATCTTTCATGGCACAAATAAAAGTTGATGTGTTACCAAAATACATTATTTATTATGTCAAGTCAGTAAAAATCGTCATAAATAACATGTGCTTGTTATATAATTTTATTTAAAATAATTTAATCAAATTTAAAGTCGGTTTACTTTTTCTCATTTAAATATGTTTAATCTCTAATTCCTAACTTCCTAATTTTGCTAACTTGGGGATATGAAACACAGTGGGTGATCATTGGCATTTAGCATTTGCTAGGCCCTTATTATTTCTCATTAAATTATAATTAAATTTTCTTTCTCTTTTTATTAACCACACATTCTCCAATAAAATGCTATTACAAATAAACCCAAAAAAATTTCCTTCTTTTTAACCACATATTTTTCAAAAAATTACTATTCCTCTCATTATAATTTGGAATAATGGGGGCCAAACGGACGCTTAATAGTGCCACAAAGGATTTATTGTTAGTTTTCTTATTTATCTAGTGATAATTAGTGTAATAGCTAAAAACTTGAGTGTTTGTTATCGCAAGAAAATAACTTTAGTTATTATTAGCTTAATTACTCAAAACTTCAAGGACGATTGACATGATTAAACCCAAATGTTCAATTTTGTAAAGTTAAATTACAAATTTAGTCCCCAACATTTGACCAAATTCGAGATCATGTCCCAACTAATTTTTCATCTAATTTTTATCCCCCACCTATGAAATTTAGCAGATTAAGATCATCTTACCAATTTTCATCCATTTTAGCTGTTAAATCAATAGTATTTATTACTACTCACCGCTAGCACTTGCATTTAACCAAAGGGTCTTCCCCTTGGTTTTTCCCACCACCAATCAGGCAGCGGGAAACGAATAGGGAATCATCTCTAACAGTGATGTTGTGCTCGAATTTGTGGGTGTGACCAAGGTCGGTCATGAGATTTTAGGTGTCATGTAAAACATTTAAAATGGTGCCCTTTACACATTATTAAAACGTGAGTGATGCTACAAGTACATAACTTTCTACATAATTGTCTACATAATTACACGTGGCATTCATTCAAACCTTTAATTCAAAT